CATCTCTACACCCAGCTGTCTAATTAAAGGCCAACCTCCAACCTTTTTTGCTTTAGTAAAAAACAAACAAACAGTTAAATATGTAACTTCTTTACACTGACTATAGGGTCTACAGGGTTGGTGAAATCTTGGTTTGGTACTTTCTTGGAATCGCCAGCAGGTGGAGCTGTGGCTGCTCTGCACACCCTTCATCCTATTTTCAGCCGTTCATCCCAGCTGAAACAGGCGCTTTCCTTTTCTTTACATCTTCTTTTCCCTTTAAATCAAATACATGAATCGTCCTTTTCTGACCTCCATAACAATTCCAACCCTGTCACCACATTTTCACCTGCACAGTTTGTTTGTTCCATGTCTGTCTGCTTAGTTCTCAGATCTGGTCCTTTGTTTATACTGACTTGTTGTAAGTCAACACGTCTAACAGATAGCTGTTGTTGTTAACTGGGCTATGTAAATAAGCGTACTGTGTGTGTTGATGCATGCTCAATCATCCAGGTAAGTAAATCCCACAGTTTGATTGTGTTCGTAGCGCTGTCAGAGGGACAAACCTCTCGTCACTCATCCAGTTTACAAATGCAACCTGAATATTGTGAATTTGCAGAGTTCTTGGTAACTTTGTAAAGCGATCAAATAGAAATAGAACAAAAATAAACCCACTTTAGCCTCTGCACTCAAGAAATGTTTTATTGCAACTGATATAAAATCTGAAGTTTAAGATTTGGATGCAGTTCCACTTACTCGTGCTTTTGGATTTAGCATCTATCGGGCAGTCTTAACTACAGTCACAGCATGACAACATCCACAGAGATTTTTCTCTGTACTGTCTCCAAAATGAAGGAGGAATTGTGTGAAATTTAGGTGAAGCACCATCATCACAACAACGTCTAAGCAAAAGCACAAGCTTTAGTTTTGCTATTTGGCCATAATATCTGCAGCAGTGGCATTCTGCAAGCATGGAGAAGCTTCCTGATACATCCTGAGTTACAACATCCTGAAAGTGTCCGACACAGACTACTGCAGAAACGTAACCACCCACTGACCTGAATCCAGTCTCTGGTCCGGAGGAGTTTGGCCGTACTTAAGGCAACAAAGCATCAGTTTCTCCTTCCAGACTAATGTGTAACTTACCTGTACTCGATCTTTGCCATGCTGAGCAGCCTTCTGGAAGCAGTCATTTCAGGTGTGTCGTGGTACTTATCAGAAAGATACACCACCTCCTTCAGACCTGGAGATAAATTAATCTTATTTGATATTACAGATGATGGAATATTGCAAATCAATTAAGGTTAAGACATAAACACTGAGTAACAGACACACCGATGAGGGTTTTTAAATATAAATGCTTTTTTTTTCTGTTCCAAAGGACTGAACCAGTCTGCAGCCTGATGTAGCAGTACATCACATTCTTAAATGTAAAACAAAGACAATAAAAAAGGTCACCAGGACAGGCCAAGGACAAA